TCATAGAAATCGATTGAATCTTTCATTCTGAAAAACACAAATCAAAAACATAACCAACACACATATAAATGAGCTCGGGCCACCTTAAGTGCTTTAATTAAGTGTGGCGCTTATACTAAAACGTTTGCGCTTGATGTTCCGATAAAATCTGAACCCAAAACTCGAGATTTGCTTCTACTGCTTTTAATCCTCGGCACACGCAAAGTCTCACCCCCAACCGTGGTACAAGGGGGAGGATCATGGAACCGCTCCCCTGAGTTTTTTTTATATGTTGCAGTATTTCAAAACGATCTCACCTTCAGTGGAAAGCCTTTGATCTTCTCAACAAACTAGATGAGGTATATCTTATGGGTAGTGGCGCTGCTGGAAGCCTCTGACGTCACCAAACATGGTCGCCATCTTGGATTTTATCAAGAATTAGAATCAGGTAAAAACGGCGAAAATTTTTGTGCTTAACATGTAAAAACACATAAATAAGTAGTTTGCATCATTTCACCAAAAATGGCTTGACCCGAAACGCATGGGCGGCGAGGAAAAATGAGGCCTAGGGACTAGATAAAGTCCGTTCAAAGTATAATGAATTTTTTTTTGGTTGCAAATTTAAGTCATACACCTACACCTCTTCTAAAGCTCTCTTTTCATTGGTCTCCTATAACCCGCAGCTCCTATTCCGGGCTCGAAAAGGCCGGCCGGGACATGTAGATAGGTAAATTTTAAAATAAAACAAAACTGAGTGCAAGGTTGGCACTACGGCAAAGGGCTGATTTTTTATTATTATTTTTAACTTTAAAAGCTCACTTGCCCAGGCAAATCATCCTCCAACAAAATCGACAGCTAAGGCCAGCAAGAAGTGGCCCGGGGCTGGCACCTGCAAATATGAAATTCAAGATTTTTTTTTTTCGAGCCATATTATTGGGTTAGGGTTATTCGCATTGTTTTTTCATGGGCTTAGACCTTAGCGTTTTCAGAAGGCGAATCAAAACTCCCACTTCACTTTTTAGATTTCTTTTGTTCATTAAGATTATCGATCCTTTGCACTTGAAGCTAACAACATAAAATAATTTTTAAATTGGTATTCGAAGTGTTCTTGTGCTTTTTTTTTTACTTTAATCTGTCTGACTCGCTGACCTTAAACTTTTTATTTTACGTTTTGATTATATATTTATTTGTTATTTTATTTCATTAATTTTTTTGAAACTCGCAATATGTCCCTTCAAAGATCCTGTAATAGAGTTGAGAATTGTGACGTCACGTTACCATGGCAAGGAAATGTACAAAAAAGTGTGATGCAAGTGTAAAGTTGTTGTTTTGCAAATAAAACCTATTGTGTTTTAGACGTTCTCGTTGCTGTCGCTCGTTGGATCTTGAAATCCCTATTCTTTCTCCAGGATACCGTCGATATCGTGGGTCTTTTTTATGGAAATTAATGAAAATAATCTTTTTGTGGAAACATCGCTTCTTTTGTTAATGAAAAATCCTAATAATCAAGGTTTTTGATCCGATCTCGAATTTCAGTAAAGAAACGCACCCTTAATAACTTAGACATGGTCCTTTCGGATTCAACCCCAGAAAATTTCGCCAACATTTGACAATTTACATGAAATTAAGATAAATGTAGTTTGAAACAGTGCGAATTCACTTTTTGAGTGACGTTTATGGATTGATGTCATCCAGAAATTTTGCTACCATGACAACGTGGCGTAGCGACTTCTCTCCATCTATATAGGTAGAGGTAAATGAGATGTAAAACTAGAATGGGTCCGCAGGGTCAAGTAATGAAACAGTGGATTATTGACGCCCTATTTTTTGTACTCTTACGACTCGTTTGTCAGGCCATGCCTTCACCTTTAAGACTCCTTTTTGACCACTTTGCTTTCAAGGACAACCAGTCACCAGGTTTTTCACCTCTCGTTTCGAAGCTTTGGAGATCTTTGTGCCCCTCTCCTCAATTGGGTGTAAGAGCTCTCAGATTGACAGACACATGACGTCGTGATGCGCTCGGGACTATTGTTCGTAATACTGGGTATTTCTGTGCTGGTGGGGGCCGGGGAGGCCCCTGATGACCAGAGGGTGGTTGAAACGGTGGTGTTCAGTTACTAGAGGGTGACTTTCATGGTCATGACTGCAATACTCGTCACAAATCTTGAAACACTTGTGTGATTATCCCCTTCCCCAATGTTGATTTGCGTATTACAGTCGTCTCACTGCTCCAAAATACGCGTGGCTCAACATTAGGGAAGGACAGGGGCAAATTTAAGTGAGAACGAAGGTGTCAGGAGTGAATGTTAGAAATTTGGAGAAAATTCAATACAAATGGCTCCTGTTTCAACGATTTGTGACGAGTATTGTAGATATCCTGTAGCCCCCTCCCTGAGGGGTTGGGGTGGGGGTTGCAAAGCGAGAGTTGGGGCTAGGGTTATCTCTACAGCTTCCCGGATAGCTCTTGTGCCGGCACAAAATCATATCGGATAGTGCTTCTATTCACACCAAAGACGGAGTCCGTAACGGAGCGGAGCTGCGCCGATCTGTAAAGTGGGTTGTCTCATGTACGATAGTTTTCTGTGCCACTCTATGGCGCAGTGTGAACAGTTGTTCCTACTATAGAGTGTTTTCATGGCCGCCGTTTCATTGTTTTGGGACACAAATATGGCCGCCAGAATTCATGTGAAAACAAACAATACCGGATAGCTTTTCACGTCGACTTCAAAAATGCATTAATAATTCAACAAGAAAAAAACAAAAGAAATTAATGTTTAATGAGTGTCTTTATATCTGATAAAGACACGGCTAAACTTGACGTCCAATTTTTTAAACCAAAATAACCCCAAATCAAAATATTAGGAAAAGAATGAGTTGATCTATATCAGAAATCTTGAAGGCGTTCAAAAAACTCGCAGTCGTGTATTATCAGGTTTTAAAAACTCTCGTAATAAACTCCTCCCCCCAGTTGTTCAAAAGTTGGATAGCGCTATCTACCGGATAAATGACTATCCAACGGATACGTATTATAGAAACCAATTGCGCTATCCAGTGGATAGTGATTTATCCGGTGGATAGCGTTATCCACCTTTTGAACAACTGCGGCCTGTTCGTTTTTTAAACAGTACATGAAACATTATCCGGTATATATGGTGTAGACATAACCTATATGAGGTTAAGAGGAGAGCAAAGCGTACCAATTTTTTCCTTCGACGTAAATATTCACATTTTGTTAGAAAAGAAAAATTCGTTAAAAAATCCTCCATTACTTCAATGGTTGCTTTAATAAAGCTTTACAATTCATACACATTTCACCACGCGATTAGAAAATAACATTTTAAATTGATTGAGGTGCCATTATAGAAAGTTTTCCCTTCATAGTTGTCCATAAAGTTCAGTGGTTCCAGAGCCGAAAAGTCCATCTTACTCCATATCAACCATATCAAATAGGCACGAGGCAAGAGAAGTAACTCCGTGCTAGTACAAATTGGCTTTACACGAGTTTTGGGAGTGCCGTCTCTCCAACATAATGCCTAACATTCAAAGCTCAAGTGTCAAGCCATAACGTCTATGCGTTGTAGTGAAGGCTTTACTTTTTAGCCCAGTAGTTTGAAGGTTCTTGCTGCAGGATGCGGCTGACGTAGCATGGTGCTGCTAGTACACACAATAGGTCAGGTACGCACGCGACCTGAAGAGAAATAAAACAAGATTAGTAAACTCACAAAAGTAGCGCAGGACAGCACAAGAAAAGAAAGTCAAATAAACAAATCTCTCTACAACAATCGAGCCTTTTTGTTTATCAAGTCATCAGACTTAGTAAAAAACTTTTGGATCAATTAAGGTTTCTAGGTGACTGCCGACCTACCCCTCCCCTAAGTCAACATTAACGCTTACTTCTCACTTAAGGCAAAATTGTAACTTAGGGGAGGGGTAGGTGATCAGGAGGATTAGAGTGAAAGCCTCAACGTTCAGGACAACAAAAAAAAAAATGGTGGTTGTCGGTCTCGGGAAGTCATTTCGGTAATTTACCACTCTTCTTCTGACAGAAAGAAAGAAAACCGTAAATCGAAAAGTGCTTTCAAAATTTATTAGTGCTTCCATCAGCAGTCCTAGCTTTAACAGCTCCATCTTTCGCGTAGTGGCAGACACTTTTCTTTGCCGTCGCCGCACACCTTATCCTCGGACACCCATGGGCACTCAATCGGGTCGGAAGAAACGATGCGATGAAAGTTGTCATCGTTGTCATGAGCTACCCGACTGACTGCCCCCGGCTAGAGCTCGTTTTGTCCAAATCCTGTGACCAAAACCCCAATCCCCCCAAACTCTCTTTAAACCAGAAGTACTTCGGTTAACCTCCTCTACATCCAAAGTGGGAAAAAACTCTTGCTTAACCCAATGTTTGTGGGGAAGTGTTGCTTGACATCAGGCACAGCACGTTCGATGTTAAGATCAGCGCTTTCTTTAGGTCACAACGCCTTGTCTTCCGGGTCTTCTCTGTGTTCAAAACAGCGAAAGGCTACTAAAGTACCCCAGGAATCCCATCTGCCTTAACTATTAAACGATTCTTAAACGTGCGAAGTCAATTGAAAACGAATAACAAGCTGGGATTAAAGGAGTTTTATCACGTGGGTTTCCACCTTTAATCACATGATTCATTCGAAGGCATGCTAAACTTTTTCTAAAACCAAGCTGTGCTGACACGGAATTGGTGTTGATGGTCTCGCTAAAAAACTAAAGTGCCATTCTATTTTAAGGTTTTTTCTTGAAGTGTCGTAAACTGCCACTTAAACGCTCTGGGCTCATACAACTTCGTAAGGGGTTGACTTACAAACAAAGAGGCAAAGATTCTTACAGGGTCTTATAACCGGAGAAGAGTTATGGCAGTGCGGATCAAAATACGTTTTGCCTTTACTGGTGTTTTGAGCTTCAAACCGTCATAATATATCAAATTCATTTCAATACATTTGGAGAGGGCTGACATCCGGAGGGGCTTACAATCGGATGTATTTTTTTGTTTACAGGTAGATGGGCCTATAACTGGGAGAGCTTATATAAGCAGCAGTTGTGGTATTAGATAAAACTAAGACAGGGTCCAATCGCAGAAGTATTTTGTGCAGCTGAACGTTTTTGTTTGCAATAAAGTGCATATTTTTCAGATGCCTACAGAGACCTTTATTTTTCTTTGTCTAGGAAAATGGATCAGTAGTGCTTTAAAAAACCTTCATCTGCGTCCATGACAGGTACAATTCAGTGACAATTGCCAAGTGAATTTCAAAAAATGTCACATCGATATCTAAACGAAGTAGAAATGGAACTGATCTTATGAGCGGAAATGTTTCATCACCAGCAAGAACCTCAAACTCAACCTGTCTAGCCACATTTTATTTTGAATAAGAAAGGGAAATGTCCCGCTGCTCGAGCATGACATCTTCATCAAAGATGAATAAATCATTGACGATATGTTTTGTTAGATGTGCTGGTTCGGTCGATTACGCCTCTACGACCTCTTTATACGAACGGTGAAGATAGTTGGATGTAGTCAAACGCATGGACAAAATGAATAATCCTCAGTTGAAAGAACTGGAATCTGGGCGAATTCATTGTAGTGAATCAAGCAAACGAGGTGGATTATGAATCAACATCAAGGACAAGGGAGGTAAGCTATATTATCAAAAGGTTAGCAAGGAACTGATCCTGTAACTTGCTCTTGAAATTTAAATCCCTTCAAAATTAAAAACGACTGGCATAACGGTTCACTTAGCAAGCACTTATTTATCACACACATTTAACGTAACTTGTTGGATTTCCTTATGAACTGGAGATCAATGCACAAATAGCTAACTGGGCAGAAAACACACAGACTATCTGCCCTGTAAAGTGCAAGATTTTTAAGCTTTCATCGGAACCTCCAAGAAACGACGGTGATTTTTCTTTTACTTGTCGTTACCTGTCTGAGTTCACGAAAACACAAAAGGGACCATTTGATGGATCCATCTTAAAACTATGTGGGCCTCACGTTAAAGAAGTATTAGTCAGAACCACCAGGTTTTAATGTAAAGTGACATGAAAATTCTGGTTTGCAAGTCAAAAATAATATCAAGGCGGGAAACTATGTATTTTTTCTCCCAAGCCACTAATGTTACCGCTTTCTTTTGTTGAAAACCGCTCTAATCTAGAGTAATACCTCGACCATTTTGATAAAGCCATGAGTTCAAGCCACAATCACAATGTTTTTGCACAATGAAGTTTATTAAGGTGGATAATTTTCAATTAGTTCACATAGTCACTAATCGTTTCTTTCGAAACCACTCTGTTAATCCAATTGTAAAATGAGAACGCGAAGGTGCCCGAAAAGGACTGAACGCGACTTCAGGTGCTCGATTTGCCTCTCTGACATTGGGCAAGGTGGTCCGTTGTCAAAATCTGCCTATTATTGTTTTAATTATTGTTCCAATAGCATAATTTAAGCAACAACCAAAGCAGCAGATCAGTAATCGTTCAGAAACTGAAAGTAAAAATCCCAGCTTCTTAAACGTATTGTGGCAGCTGACCTCACTTCCGTATCACTTGTAGCTCAGTGGTTAGAGTATCTGAACCAGAACTCGGAGGGCCGTGAGTTCGATTCTCGCCGGGAGCTCGGAATTTTTTTCAGATTTCTGGTGTTAGATTTCTCTTTCTTC